GCCAGGAGGCTGGGCGCTCAGAAAGTTGGCGCAGAGTTGTTCTCCTCTTGGTGGAGAGATGCTTTCAGCAAGTTTCTCTCCCAGCCAAGCTTGCCTTGTCGGCGAGGAGTGCCGCGGAGGTGCTTTAGGACAGCAACCCACTTCTCTTTCAAAGAGCCTCAATCTATCACTATTGAGTCTCCAAACACAAAAATTGAAAAGCAACATGTGTACGCGGCACAGCCAGGCCCATCTCGCAGCCCGGCCTGGGTTCCAGAAGTCTTGCACCTTCATGCAAGCGCCACCCCATCGAAGTGAAGAGTCTGCTCCATCCCAGTCTTGCCTTGCAGCAGGACTTTTGAAAAAGTCCAGAGATGATCATGCCGCAAGTTGTCACGAAGAAATCGCACACGAATGCGTGCGATCGCTAAGATCAGGTGCTGGATGGGCTCGCAGCCCTTAAGGCGCGACTACTTTGTTCTTTGACGCATGACCCCTCGGCAACAAGGCAACGCCCACAAGAAATGTCGCGCTTCAGGCATCAGTCCTTTCTGTTCTTCTTATGTTTCATCGGATGCTGTCAGGTCCGACCCAGGGAAACAGTGCGTCGGCAAATAATCACTTGAGAACTTTGCCAAGGCGCAACACTAACATCTTCCCTCGAAGATGGCAAATTGGAGACAATGCCTCTCCACCTGAGCTTGCTGAAATGTCCAATTTGGACGGGGGAAGGCGCGTATTGTCTCTGCTGCCTCGGGCAAGATTACACGCCGAACCTGCATAGCCTCAAGAATTTCACCGGTAATGCCAGGCAGAACTTCTGCAGAAGAGGCACTGAAACAAAGAGGCATGTATTTGGCAAACTTCTTCACCAGCTCAAAGACCCTGCTCGCCGAATCTCGGCTGCGCTCCTCGTCCTTGATTCCTGAGTGCTGGGCACAGCCCTACCCTGCCCTTGACGAAATCCCATCCACTCTGTAGTGAACAAGGGACTGAGCAGCAGTAGTTCGCTGCAATGCTCTTGTAGGAAAGAGTGGCAAGTTTGCAGCGCGGCCTCAAGCAAAGGCAAACTGATCGCACCTCGATGTGGCCGCGATAGGAAACCAGCAGAACACAGCCGGGATTTGCTACAAAGGTCTCTCATCAGCAAACGAGGTAAACCACAACGTCAACTCCAGTGGCTCCCAAGCCGGAATTACAGAAAGGGCTATCCTGCAAGTGTTGGTAAGTGAGAGGTTGTGGAAAAGCATCGTCGTGTATCCGTGAAGCACGCCGCAAGCTGCGGCCAGAGGTATGACTGCAATTAGCAAACCTTAAATGGATCCCCGGCTTGCAGGCCTCAAGAGTCAGGGCGCAAGCCAGCGGCCCGTGGTAGAGCCATCCGTCACCTTTCACCTAGGCTTAATTGGGAACTGCGTGAGGCTCCATGAGCCTAGCTGTGTCAAGCAGGTGTGGGATGTTCTAAATTCCTAATATTGCTGTTCATGCTTCGCCGCGCTTTCGCGCACCAGGAACAACAACCCCGGAATCCTGTGCTGCAAACTCGCTGTATAAAACACCTGAAGGGTTTAAACAACCCTCATGTACGATGAACGTAGGTGTGTTGCATGTCAGCAATGATGGTTATGGGCTCTGTGCTTTGCGAGGCCAGCCCTGGCGAACGCCTGGCCTTTGGGCAGGTCCGTCCCTAGTGATGCCTATCAGCGTACGAGGAGGCCTGCTATTCCAGCTGTAGTCTGGCTCCATTATGCGAGTCACCCGTAGGTCGAAGAAGCGCACACCTGCCAGAAGCAAAAACTATCTTGCAGCTCTTCTCCATTGATAGACAGCTTCAGCGAGCCTGAATCAAAATCCTAGGTCCTAGGTGCTTGTCTACCACAAAGAGCCTGCTGCAAGCTGCGCGTTCAGGTCCCAGTCTTGTGTCTGGCCGAAAGCGTGCACATAGGCCCAGCTGACCTTCAGATATCTGCAAGTCTGTGAGAGGCACTGTCAAGGGCTCTGCATGCTTTGCCATGCTGAGCCAAAACTTGCTTAACGAAAACCTGCTGCACTTCTCCAAGCTGAGCAAGTTGCAGGTAAAGGCCACATTTGAAAAGTGGCCGAATCGTGGGTGCCGGGTATTGACACCTGGCCGTGCAATAGCAAAGGACAAGAAATTCAATTCCTGTACAAAGTACAAAGCCACACGCGGGAAACAATATGTTGGTAGCAGTTTCGGCAATTGCGATCGCTCTGGGCATCCTCATGCAAAATGTAGTAAAAGCTGCCAAGAGCTCTGGATGCGTCAGACGTGGAATGGTTTGAATGATTGTTGTACATTTGCCGGCCCTGTGGTCCGAAAGTCTTAACATGCAGGCGATGACAAGGCCCAGCACGAGCGCCAGGCAGGAAACAAAACCTTGAACAGGTTGAAACTTACACTCTGGACAGGTCACGTGCCCTGCGCTGTCTCAGTTCTTAGTACTCGCGACACGGCGCCTTGCAAACTGGCAGTTGATCTGGGAGCGCACCCATCCAGTTGCGCAAGTCTAGCTTGTCCTGGCGGTGCCAGCAAATGTGAGTCTGCTCACTCCCCCAAGCTCTTGCTGTGGAAGTGCGCCCCCATGCTGGGTACAAAATCGTTCTTGTTGATCTCCCAAGCCCGGATGAAGCTCATATAATCCGAGGCCTTCTCGCGCGGATGGCTTTTAAAGAATTCAGCCGCAGGCGTGCTAGGCTCGGTGGCCTTGGCATCTTGAGCTTGGTTCGTTCACTGGAATGGCAATGTTTTGCAGCTGAGGTGGCCGTGCTGGGCGTGGAGAGCTCCGGCTCAGCAGTGCTCAGCTTTGGAGCACGAGACGCGGCACGCTTTATGTTGCCTGCATTCACCCTGCTACAGTTTGTCCTCATGCGTGATACAGGCATTGCTGTTATGTTGCCCTGAACTGTTGCCTCGCCGTCTCCTTTGGCGGCCAAAGCGACCCCTCGACTGGCACGGCCTTCATGTCCAAGAAGCCAGCAAATCAGTCTTCTGTTACTGGCACGTCATGAGATGCAGCGAGCCTGTCGCTTCTTTTTTCTTTCAAGATCTTGCAAAAAGAGTGTGTAGAATGATGCCTGGATGTCAAAGCTGTCATAGCTCGGCAGGCCACCGCGGGCCCGAAGCCTGAGCTTCTCCACCCCCTACTTTACGCATCCGGAAGACATTTCTTGCGGATGAATGTCAACAAATGCCGGTGTCTTACATAGATCATCACAGGCATAAAGGTGGTGGGGAAACGGCACAACTCTGAATTCTGCAGTGGCGCGCTCAGCGACATCCCCATCTGGGTCGACAAGAACTGCAGCTACAACCTGGGCCAAAACATTGAAGGAAAGCATGCTACGTGTCGGCTTGCAAATGGGGTGGAGCAGGCCCGGCGTAATCGCGGGCAATCTGGAGCCACTATTAAGTCTGCGCTACTCCACTTTGAGTTTCGGATCTGATGAACTTTGGGATTGCCTGGCACGCTGAAGCTCACTGAGCAAGGAAATGGCTCCAACGGAAGGCGTTGCAAACCAGGACTATCCAGGACTGCAAGCAAGGGGGACCAGGTCAAGCGCGGTTTCCCTCCAGTACATTCGCAGAACCGTGAATGCAGGCCACAGTGGCTGGAAATGACTTTTTGCAATGGTGTATCTCCACAAGAAACCTCTTGGCAAACCAGACTTCTACATTAGGGCTTCCGCTGTTTGAGCTTGCCCTCAACACGATTCTCAAACGAACCCAACTCCACAGCCATTGACGCGACCAGTACAGTTCAGAATGTTCAGAAAGTTCATGGTAGGACCGGACAACATGCTTGTTTGCCCTCCTCCCCCTAGGCAAGTAGAACAAGGCGAGATGACATATCTGCGGCTTGGTTGACGCCTTCTGCACTTGCCAGGCGCTGGAACGAGTCCAGCGCTGACTCCTTCACATGACTTTTTGCGTCTAGCTTGTGAGCGGACAAGGCATGAAAGATATTGGGCTCCAATATCAAACTGTAATGAACCACAAACCGGGAAATGATAAGCTTGCGACAATTAGTCTCTTCATGCATCTGGCTTTCAGTCCTCGGCAAGGCCAAACAGAGACAGCTGCAAAACGCGCCAGCCTGGCGGCGCACAAGGCGAAGGACTCCAGATTGCTGATTCCACTGTTCAGCCCTACGACCGGACTATGAACAGACTAGAACCCACTACGTGCCACTCTGCCATGCGTTCAGCTATTAAAAACACAAGTGGCAGAGTTACCCCGGCCTCTGTTGACTTCGCCTGCCTGACAATCCAAATTGCAATCCGGGTGTGGGTATTGGTCTCATACTGAGACATCAAGTTGCAAGGCAAGTTACCTACAGGACGGATCCATACTGAGGGCAAAAATGCTCGTGTAGGTTTGCAGCGAGTCTGCTGAAAGAGTAGCCAACCAGTTCTCAGTAGCGCGTTAAGACTTCCTGCCGCACAAACAGAGGTCCCCAAACAGGGTCAAGCAAGCAGGAGAGAAAGGACAACTAGTTTTATGCGCCTCCCCCGGAACGTCGCCCCGGGCCATCGCGCTCGGCGGCTTCACCGCTTAGCGCACAAGCTCTTGGCGCTGAAATACTCATGACTTCAAGTGGTATGCTGATCGGGTAAAGGTCTTGGGACACTGTGACTAAATGTGGGTACGACAGACAGCATTCCTTGCAACTTCTGGAAGCCTAGATGAAACTGTCGCGAAAAACACAGGCATGAGCATGAACAGGGAGCTTCTTCAACATGGAACTACAAACTTGACAAAATGTTGCGACGCAGGGCCTGTACATGCAGACACACAAGAAAACGGAGCTTGCTGAGTCAGAATTGCTGCTTCCACCTGAGGTGCATTACATGTGTAGACGATTAGAGGTGGAACCTTGCTGCTAGATATCTCCTTGTTAGTCCCGTGAAGCAGTGCTCTGTTCAACTTTCACAGTACCTACCGGATGGACAAAGCAAACGGCTGCTTCGATAAGCGAACCCAGGAATGGCAGGTCCCAGGCGACGATGAGACACTTACCCTCCTCCGCGACGAAATTGCCCAAATTGACCTCGAACTTGTTCGGGCCTCCAGCAATGCTGTCCTGAATCTGATACATGCATTCCTCATGCAGGTCTGAATACTATCACTCCATGCCAGGTGCGGGACAACTGTTGTGTGTCATCTTGGAGTAGCGCTGTGCATCCAGGCAGAGCACGCAAACGTGTGCCTTGCTTTGCTGGGGAGTGAGCTCCCAACGGCACAAAGCTCCAAAGCACTCCCTAAGCCTTGCCGGGGCCATGGCTCGCCGGATTGCTTTGCGCGTACCCATGCCAGGCTGGACGAACCTGGCTTGTTAGGAGCCACAAGCTGCCTGACCTGCTCCCACAGCATCCGAAACTTTCAACAGCTGGGTCCCAAACTCTGCGGTTGTACCGGAGTACTGCCAACCCCTGTAGATCCCACACCTTGGCTGCGGGGTCCTTTCCTACTCGCTCACGTTCCTACTAGGGCTCAACCCCCCCAGCTCCCCCATAAGAATGCTGAGCGTGCTGAGCGCCACGACGTGTCGATCAGCTTTACGGGATGTTCTTTGAAGGTCCTGAGGAGCGGCGGAGCGGGGCTCCGCTTGGAACAAGCAATCCAAAATGTACTGCGGCTACCGCTCCTCATCATCCTGCTGCTGCTAGTGAGTTCTACTCCTACTACCATCACTACGGCCACGGCACTGTCCTCACCACAACTGCGTTGCCCCACTTACTGTCTACTGCCCGCTACACTGCTACACACATGCGCCACTGCTGCGCGTTACTTGGCATCGTCCGGAAACAGACGCAGAATTGCCATCCTGAAGCTGCGGAGGCACCGCCATCAAGACCATCGGTCCGATTCACAAATCTCGCTTGCGCTTACAGCGCGCATCGCTGCGATGCTATATATATATATATAGGTGAAAGTAGAAGAACGAGGAATGAACTGAACAGTATGGCCCCCATGGCAGGGGAAGCCAATGACGTTCAGTTGTTTGTGCTTTTGTTTGCTGGTGGGGCGCTGATGGGGCTCTGGAATGGGGAGAACATTTGCCGCGGCCCAAACCATCATCAAGTTCAATCGCTGGTTCCTGTGTACTGATAGGGCTCCTTGGACAGGCAAGTTTGATTCATGTGCTTTGATTTACGGTTGCTGATTTCGGCGGAGGGCAAAATTGACTTTGAGTTCGAGTCCAACTAAGTACATGAAAAAGTGATAAACAGCAAACACAATGAACTTACATGAATTTCCCTTCCCTGCCCCTGTACCACAAACACATAGGCACCTCTTCGTTGCAACAGACACTAATGACCCCAACACTTGCACCAAGACGCATGGAAAAGTGCAAGCCACACTGCAATGACTGCTATCATGCAGGGGCAGGAGTGTGCTGCAGTCCAGTTCGTGATGATGGAATCCATGGTCGTACCATCAGCCTCGTCCACCTGGCACGGCGGACCCCAGGTGCTGCCCTCCACAACATCTCCTTGCTTGCCAGCGATCAACACCAGTAAGCAGTACGACGCAGCGTTCTTCCTGCAAAAGGGCGTTGATGATGCTTGACCTGCGAGTGCTGGAATATTATCATAAGGTCTGTCCAGCTAAAAACATGGTGAGGCGTTTGCTCGCTCTACCCCAGCCCCCTGCGAGTGCTAGAGCAGGGATGGCAGAGAGAAGGTTCTAAGTTTCGTATGTAACCCTTCGCTGGCAGCAGGCAGCTCTGATGACTTTGCTCTTAATGCTGGCCACTGCTGGAGGCAACTGCTGAGCATGCGTTGGATATGCAACATCTGTTTTCGAAGCCCAACATCCGCAATGCTTTTGCGTGATATAGCGCTTCAATTCGTAGGTGCTCAACTGCTGAAGGTACGATGTTCAACTGCACAGCGAACCCTGCATGGGAGAAAGATCGGAAGCAATGCATGCCGCAGGTGTATCCAGGCCAGGCAACCTGCGTTCTGGGGATGTGCAATTGTTTGCAACGAAGCCGTGTTGAGGAAGGGCGATGCAGGGCCGACACACAGACAGTCCAGTCCATGTAAGCCTATGGCACGCAGCAGACGACCCCAAACTAGCTGCCACACAGCCAACCCTCCCTAAAATTTCCTCAGAGAGGGGACCGACCATGCGGAGCGTGCCTGTTGCAAGACTCTGCTATCCCAACGTATCCTCGAGCAGCTATCTAGAATAACCAGCCTACCGAAAGACACACGTCAACATGCATGCTGCCAAGGCAAAGAAAACGTAAACGATATGGCAGTCTGTCGAGGGCGCAAGACAACGTTATAGTCTCTGCTGTGGATTCCGACTTCCGCACGTGGGCACATGTCAAAAGTGTCCTTTGGCAGTGCCCTCTTGAAAAATTGTGTCCACACAAAGATTGATGTCACAACTCTCGCGTAAAACAGAGCATCAAGTCGGTTCCGAACTCCAAAGTTGCCACGCGTGCATGCACATGCGTATGTACACGCATGTGGTGTGCGGCCGTCAGCCACAAGCCTCGAAAAACCTGCAAGCCAGCACGCTTGACATGAGGTGCCAGCTTCCCACCATTTGGCTGCCCAATAATCGCCACCTCAATGCTTTCACGTGCTTGCAAGGAATTGGTGGGTTGTGCTTCATCCCCATTTAACCCAGCTACAGCAAGCAGCCACAGAGCGAAGCCAAACAGTCTGTTGCTCATCTGTATGCATCTGTTTGTGGGGAGTGTTTGCCCGGCTTGGGCTGGAATACGCTAAGTCATGGGCCTTCATGGCGTTGTCCATCTCCTCGAGGCGGCGCTGCCTGGGCAAAACCATAAAGCTCACGGTCGGGCTTGCCGGCAATGTCCAGAGGCTAAAAGGCTTACTTTCAGCTTCTTGGCTTGCAGAGCTGAGGCTGCCTTCAGGCCCTTACGTGAGTTCTCCAAAAGGGCGTCAGTACGCGTCAGCAGATCAACTCTGACTGCTTCGCAGATGCCAACATATATGTTGAAGAAGAGATAGCACAGCTCTCGCTGTCTTTGGGAAGGAGCTAGAAGATCCAGGTCGTCAAGTGTTGAAGCACTGTGAGACTTGGCGACGGTGATGTGTGAAACTTGCCTCCTTCTTGTGATCGAAGCTGCGAGGCCCCGGCCGCAGCACGTAGTCTCTCGCCTGGCCGAAAAATCAAATTGACGTGTTGTTACAATGTGAAACCTTTACCCGCCGATCACTATCGCCTCGCCTCCTTTGTTGGCAGGGAGCGCTGTGGAGCCTGATGCGGCTGGTGATTGACCCACCCATGTCTGCAAAGCAAGAGCTGGCAGAAGCAGACACGTTCCAGTGCAGCTGAGTTGGCCACGTCAAGCCAATACTTGCCAACCCGTCTGCCGTCATCATGCATCACAGCTGCCTGACAGCCAATTCCATGCGATTCTCTTCTTCGGTTCCTCGGTGAAAAGTGTGTGCTCAAAACCCCGAGGGCTGACCTGACCCACTGCCTCCCTGATTCAGGGTGATTCTATAAGTCATTTCTTAGCTTCACATGTGGACTTCGTCATGTCAGAAAACTGCTTCTTATCTCACAGGTTCGGATGGACAGCCAGGAGTAGCGCAAGCATGTTGCTCTGCCTTGAGCCCAGGATCCAGTGCCCCAAGAGGGTCGGCAGGATGATGAGCATAGTACCTGGCAGAGCTTGGCAGCAGCGACCTTGAGCTACATAAACACCATCTGCCGACTTCAGCAATGGACAGAAGGTGACAAAAGCTTTTGAGGTTCAAGCTTGTGGACAATTCTAGGATGGAGCGTTTGCTGGAAGACCCCAACTAATCCATGGTCCATGGCCTAAAGCCGCGCGGAGCCTCAGCGAGTTCCACTTCGCTTCAGGCATGTCCAAGGTCAGCCAAGGCAAGGTGGGCCCTGACGGATGTAATCAAGGCAAACACGCTCCTTGTTCACTCCAGGTCTTCCCTGGACATACTTTCGGCTATACTTGCATGCCCACACCCCAGCCTGGTGGTGGTCCGCTCTCCGCGTCACTCTGCTCACTGAGCTCCTGCAACTCCAAAGCAAGTACTACAGGAAGGCTTCTGGGGGAGCCTTGTGTGCCAAAAGAAGTGGCATGCTTATCTTGCACTATCTCCTCTTCATCCTCGTCTTCCTCCACCTCCAAAGGACAACATCCGGACGAGGCCGCACGCTTCCAGTTTCAGAACCCAGGCTACACGATAAGCCGACGCCGCGCCTCCGGCTCCTCGTCCTCGTCTTCCTCCATCTGAAGACCTACATGAGACCAAGTCTTTGTTGTGTTGATGTTTTTTTGTGAGGTATGGCAGGCATGTCATTTCGAATCTGACTCTAACTCTATGAGGTTGACCCATCACCTGGCAACTCTCAGCCTTGCATGTACTCACGCTCTTCATCCGTCTGCATAAAGGCTGTGCCGGGGTTTTCCTGCACCGAAGGCGGTGCAGCTTCATGCTGAAGGTACATGCTGGGCATGGAATCTAGCTAGCACAAGTCTTGAAGAGCCTAAAGTCTGCAGCGTACGTTTGAAGCCTTATCTTGCAAGAGTCCTCTTCGACGCGCTGTAGGTGTCCAACCTCTAGAAGGAGGCGGTCATGGAGATCATCCTCGGAGCAGCGCTAAGCTCCCAAATGCACGTTGCCGAAGATGTCTGCAATAGAGGCCTACACTTGCTACATTTCACTATACGATAACTTTTACATGGCCTGCATAAAAGCCCCACCCCCAGGCCGCAAGGTTGCAGCCCACGGAGCTCACACAGCCTAGCGCTAAGAGCTGTCCGTCCCATGGACAGCTACTTGTAGCAACCTATCAAGGTGCCGGAGGGCCGGCTTTCGATGCAGCCCTGCCCCCTTTCCAGGGCGTGGGCCATGCCCTGATTCTGCTTGGCAGAGATGATCACCTAAAGCTTTCTTCTAAATCACAAACAGGATACTGCTGCTGGTGGCATGCAATTGTCCTGGGTCCCGGCTGGATCTCCAACGCCAAGCTCGTAGCAGTCGTTCAAGTAGGGGCCGATGAAGGTATTCTCCGCCTTGTTGGCGATGAGGATAATCCTGTTAGTGAGCTTGCTGCAGTCCATCACAGTCCTACTGCAAGCTCAAAATCATGTTGACATGCTTTCAGCATCTGGGCATCCGACGGCACATCTCGGGGCGTCTCCGTCTTGAAGAGGTCCCTGTAGCGATCTGCCTCTGCAGTATCGAGTCTCATAACATCCCTCAGTAGGGCTCATGGCACAACATCCTTAGTGAGAAGCTACAAGGATTATGTGCAAGCGGCTGTCGGAAATAGTGCGTCTGGCTCCACTTCGCACGTTGCCAAAGACGAACAAACTGCAAGCTGGTCTTTGGGCATTTATTTGCTGCCGCATGAAATGGTGTTGGTTCATGTTAGTTCATGTTCCCATGCAAGATTAAAGGTGTTTCTGCATTTGGCCGGCTGATGCATTGGCAGATAAGAAATACCGGAACATTGGATCTGACACCATGGCGACTTCCATACATCTTGCTCTTCCTCAACGAAAAGTGGTGCTTCCCCAGAAGCTTCCTCGACACAACTCCCAAGAGGCAAGGTCAGTTCAGATAGGGCCAAGACGTTTCCGGCTCCCTCGCGCAGCATCTTTGCAATGGCATAGTCGCTGGGCGTGATCTGGCAAGCTCATGCCATGAACAGATCAGTTTCAACCCACGACTGGACCCTCACGCCGCCTTCAGCAGCGACAGAAATCTGATGAAAACTAAGCGAGGCCAGAGGACTCCCTCCTGTGCGTCGATGAGGAACAGGATCGCATGCGCCTTTGGGTTGTTGGGTGTACCAGTCGTGTGAGCAGGGCGTATGGCTGCTAAAGAGAATGACAAAGGCATGCTGCAACAGCAGGCTTGAGTGGATGTTTTCGCATGGATGCTGACGCTCTTCTGCAATGGATGGACACTGCTGAGCATCTACGAGCTGCACTCGAAGCTCTCAACCTCCTGTGATGGCTGTGCACTCGCTCCTCCGCAACTGCCTTCCAGACCTGCTCCTGCATAGACTGCCTTAGAGCTCCACATGCGCTCGCAAACAAATCCAAGCCCCTCATATTACGCAAAGGGCCAACAAGTGGCATTTAGCAGCCAGACTAGGGTTTTGGGAGCTGCACGAAGCCCCAAGCCTTCTGCTTTGGCGGAAGTCTTTAGCAAAGTGATGACATTCCATCAATCTCACTTGCATCCACTTGCAACCCAGATGCAGCAACGTGTTCGCAGATGTCTCCTTTGGGCTCTCGAGTCCTCCCGTGTCGATGATGCGGAGCAGGAGCCTCTTTGCTTTGTCAGTCATTGCAACATTCTTACATTGTCGCAGCATGTCACTGGGCTTGATGCCCATACAGAACGGCAAGCGCGTCTTTGCGGTCCCGCGTTGTGCCTTCGAGCATGCAGTGGCCACCCCAGAGCTTCATGATGCTTGCAGCCGACCTGCGCGGTCGCTGATGATAGCCCTGTGGTCCAGCTCGCGCTTCTTCCGCCGAGTACCTTGTAAGTGAGCAGAACATAGACTCCAAAGCTATGCAGCTAATGCTTCTTGACTGGGTCCAAAACAGCCGCATGTTCAATGCTTGTTTTTCTCAAGCTGCTAGCTTGTGTCAGTTTACGTGGAGTGCCATTCTAACAGTGCTTGCCAGATGCTCTGCGACATGAAGGCGGTACAAGGCACATGGAATGCAAGAAAACCCACATCTGGGAGCTGGAGGGTCACCGGACTGCAAGCGATTGAACAACGTGGACTTGCCCACATTGGGCCGCCCAACGATTGCCAGCGTGATAGGCTGGATGTCCTGCCAGGTGTCTTCGTAAAAAATAAAGGGTGCTTGAATTGTGAAAAGTCATGCTGTGAACCTTTCAAGAACATTCTTTGCAAATCTTGCTTTCTGACTGGCAGCAGTGACATGCCGCGGTTATGTCCTGTTGGGGGGGCAGTGGTCCTGGTGATGCCTGTTTTGACAGGTGTTCTCGTTCAGCTTGGGATCTGGGGGTCTGCCCGTCAGCACGTGGTATCTGCATCGCATGTCCAAATGTCAACTTTCAATGTCATTGGGAGTATGAAGGTCCCGACCTTCGCCTCGTACGTTTACGGCATCTCAATAACGTCACGCTCACATGGATCAGGGGCCGTTGAGCTAATGGGCCTGGTGACTGTCGTCGTGGTTTTGGAACTTCGTATCATTGTTGCATCTCAGTGTCATTGTTCGTGCTAAGCCTTCTGCGTCGGCACTTGCGTGCCTATCAGGCTTTACAACTATTCGCACTTTTCTGCTGGAGTCAGTGATTGCAATTGTGGATCTGGCCTTTACACTTCCAATCAGATGGCCCTATCCTGAGCCTCCGGGAAAAATGGCCTCACGGCCTCCGCCCACACGCTGATGGGGTTGGTTTGTGGTCCCCTCTCCGCTTGCTGAAAACCGTATCGAAAGATTTCCAGCCAGGCCTGACATAGGCAATCATATTGAAGACTGTTGGCAAAGCGTGTCTTGACTCGTCAACTTCGATACGATCTGGTGGGCCTCCAGAACATATCGATACACCGTAGGCCGTTATGATTTGGGTCTCTGAAGTCTCCTTGGACCCTCCGAATCATCTCGAGAAGGCCAGGATTTGGGAAGAACCCCCCAACCAAAATCTTAATCAGCCTTTGAATTTCAAGGTTTAACGGGAGCCTGATCCAGCTTCAACATGATTGACACAATTCAAGCGTTTTGCCGTCGTTCCATCGGAGAGATACTCTGCTAGGGGGCTCTTGGGAAACAAGTCCACATGCTGCTCTTCAAATCAGAACCATTTTGAAAAGCCTGTTGCTCAAAAGCAGTCAGAGTACAGTCAGAGCACAATTCGTATTCAGAAGTGCCTCCCTCGAATCACCCAGCCATTGAATCGTACTGAGCAGTGTGCCCTTCAATTGTCTCACTTCCTATATTAATATCACTACATCGTCTTGAGTGTAATGTACCGGCTTCAAGAAGTCATGATACTGTGGCGTGACTTCTTGGGACGTCTTTTTGCAGTGGGTCTTGTGACGTCTAAATCATACAATCGTATAGACTTGTCGCTGCTGCTGCTGCTGCTGCTGATGCTGCTGCTGCTGCTGCTGCAACAACAACAACAACAATCCAACATTTTCATCAATCTTCAGGACAACTGAGCACTCCTCTGGCACGTCCAGCTGGAATTGGTGACGACCTGTACCGAGCATGCTTCTGGCCAACTCCACCATACCCGGCCGACTGATGCGCATTGTTGACTTCTTTCTCAACCTCTGCTGCAGTACTTGGTGAATGAGCTGCAGCTCTTGAAGCGGTTGGTGACGATCACGATCATCCGCAATCAACAGTCACTACAGCTACTACCACAACACCTGTAGCGATCTTAGCAGCAGTTGCAGCAGCAGCAGCAACAGCACCACCACCACCACCACCCACCGCTCCCACCCCATCCCCACTCCCACCAGCAGCAGCAGCAGCAAGACTACGTACTGTTACTGCGACTGTCGCGGCTACTCTTACTACGCGCTTCTCGCCTCCTTGAAAGGTATTAGGAATGATGCTACTTTAACTTTTCCAGAGTACACGCAAGAGATGGGGCTGAACACACTGACAGGCATGGTACGAGTAGATTGGGACTTCCAAGGTCCAATAAAGGCCTACTTTAAGAAACCTGCACCCCGCGGCGGGCTAGGAGGCATTTTAAGTGATTCCGACTTGAATTGCCGGAGTGGTTTAAGAGAGGGACATCATAAGGAGAATGTTGGAACTTACTGGCCTGCGTGCATCATTCTACAAAGAAGCATCTGGCATCATCTGGCAGCTTTGTGTGGAGAAGCTTCGTCATGAGCAGAGAAGAGTTTCTCCATTTTCCCATAAGGTAGAGCTGCATCTAATTTCCACAGGCCCACTCAAGAGCTCCTTTTCTGCGCTCGTACTTGTAGAAGATTGGAATAAGAACAGCCCTCTCTGGACTGCTAGGCAAGTGCACTGCGCAGAGAACCCAATCTCAAAAATATCGATGCCTTGAAACGAAGCAAATACTCAGCGATCCAGGAAACCACGAAGAATCACTCCAGCTCTTTGACAGGGAACGATCCGAAGCCTTCAAGGTCGGGAGGGAGAACAGCGCCAGACATGCGGAGAATGATTACAGCCGAGAGTCGAGAGCGCCAACGCCAGGCATGCCAGTGACATGGCATGCTTCATAAAAACACGAAAGCTTGCGCGACAAAGCACAGAAGGTGCAAGCACGACGCAATATAGTTAATCAGCCCCCTCTCCCCCCTCTCCCAAGATTTTGGGGAAGTACATGCTTGTTTGGTAATTGTACCCGTAGGGCGAGGATTTAGGATTGCAGGTCCCATGGCGAGCCTGTCTCATTCATCCGTATCCACTAGGCGCTGACAGAAGCGATGCTTGTGAGATAAGCCTAGGTCAACCCCGTGAACGCAAACATGCTGGGTCTGACGCGCATAGGGCTAAGGTTAAGTTCGCAGAAGTATGCCTATGATGGCCTTTGCCCTTTGGCACCGTTGTTCGCATGGTCATCTGTTTGCCGCATGGCAACAACCAGAACATGTGCATTACATAACACAGTCCGGGGCCTCTGGGCAGGGCAGGCGTCAGTGTCAAGAACGTGGAAACACATTTGGGTCGACGCACAGAAAGCAATAGTCAAAAAAACCGTGCACCTGTGCAAGATGTGAGATGCTGCAAATACCAGCTTTGCCGTGCCTGTTTAAGCGCTAAAACACTGCAAACGGCCACATCTTCCGGAAGCCAATCGCAAAGAGACCTCGCTCGCAAAAACCTGAAGCAAGAATATGCTGTAGATACCACGGAATTCGTGAGCGTCGGAACAACCATTCCTTTACAAGAGGTGCACGCTTTCCACAGCGGCGAAAGGCGCACATGCCACGACTACTACTACTCCTTCTACTACTAGTGCTGCTGCTGCTGCTACTTCTACTGCTACTACTGCTACGAGTACTACGAGTACTACTACTACTACTACTACTACCACTACTACTACTAGTAGGCACGCGGCGGGGGGAAAAAAAAAACACGACACGCACGTGCTGCAGGGTCTGAAAGTGCTGGCAGGCGCAGTGAGTTCGAGAGCCGTTTTTGGACACAAATTTGTGTC